CAGCGCGGGCGCCGCCCCCACGGGCGCGGCCGGCCAATCAGAGCGCGGGGTGGGGCGGGGGTGGGCGGGGCGGCCCCGCCGGTGCTGCCGGTGGCACCGAGCGAATGCGGGGCTGGGCGGCTCCCCGGCCAGCCTGTGTGACAGCTCACCCCGAGCAGCGGACGGTGCTCAGCGCAGCGACGGCTCCGGCACCGCCGGTGTGTCACATCCCGTCAGGAGCCGCCGCCCGCGGGCTCACCGGCACCGCAAAACATCCGCCCAACGCAACACCCGGAGCCCGCGGGGATCCTCCCGCCGGCTCTGCCACAGCCCCGCTGCCAGCACTAACCCCCGGGATCGTGCCTCAGGGGTCTGGGCACTTCTGCAGCTCGTTCTGGCACTTCACGCTGCCGGGAGGTAAGAAAGTGGCCACTAAAAAGTCATAAAAAAGCTTTAATGTCTTACAGTAAACCAGGAATCGAACAGTATAAATAATAAATAAATAACCCCCGGCCAGACACGCAGCTGGTCCCGGGAGGAGGGGATGTGTCTCATCCAGAGCCTGCACTCCACATCCCAAACCACCTCGGCCCTCCCCAGCTGCCCCTGTGCAGCCACAGCCCAGCCCCACGCTTTGTTCCTTCTGGGTCATTTCACTGCCCGGAGCAGCTCTGCGGGTCACAGCCTCCGTGTGAGTCCTGGATAACCCTGAAGGGATCTCCCAGCACAGCTGGGCCATGCAGGGACACGGAGCTGCCGGGCAGGGAGTGTGGAAACCGGGAATCCCTTGCTGGGCACAGCAGGGCTCTCCAGCCAGCACCCCGTGCTCAGAGAGGGGCCCTCAGGGCGGGCAGCGCTGCTCCATCACTCCACGGGCTTCACCTTGGCTATGAACAGGGCTGTGGCTTTGCTCAGGAACTCCTCCCTGCTCATGGACGAGCCCAGCTTCCTCTCCTGCAGCGCCTGCTCCATGGCCAGCGCCAGCCGGTCGGGGCCCAGCCTGGAGCCCGCCTCCAGGTAGCGGGCGGGCCGCGAGCCGTGCCCGGCGCCCAGCGCGTCCTCCAGCGCCCGCAGCACGGCCTGGCACAGCCGGCTGTCCGCCGAGCCGCCGGCGCCCAGCACGGCGAACAGCGCGTCCGCCTTGGCCGCGAACTCCAGCAGCACGCAGCAGGTGAGCACGCCGTAGCGGAACACGTCGAAGGGCACGGCCTCGTGGTCGCGGCAGCGGACGCGGCGCAGCAGCTCGGCCGCCGCCTCGGCCGGGGCCGCGCCGCGCTGGCAGATGCGCCGCAGCAGCTCGCTGTAGAGCCGCCCGTCCACGCCCGCCGCCCGCCGCCGCCCGCCGCAGCCCAGCACCTCGTAGGCCGCGCCGGCGTTGCTGTCGAAGGCCGTCCTGCGGCGACAGGGCACGGACACAGAGAGGCGGCCTCGCCCCCCGCCCCCGCCGCCCCCCGCGCCGCCGCCCGCCGCACCTGTGCGAGTGGTGAGCCAGGCACACGTACCACAGCGCCCGCGCCACGCGCTGCGGGGGCCCCGCGGGCTCCGCCGCCGCCTCCGCCAGCACCAGCCGCTCGAAGTACTCGGCCAGGAAGGACACGGGCTCGGCGGGCCGCGCCTCCAGCACCTTCAGCAGCGCCTCCCGCACCATGGCCGTGACGCCGGCGCGCAGCAGGAAGTCCGCCGCGCTGCCCTCCGCCGGCACGCCGCCCCCCGGCGCTGCCCGCCCCGGCTCTGGCGGCCCGCTGCCCCCCGCCGGCACCGGGGCGGCGGCCGCTCGCCGCTTCTCGTACGCCGCCATCTTGCACCGCACTTCCGCCCGGGACGGAAGTTTTTGTGCCGCCATCTTGCAGGCTGGCAGCCAATCGGCGGGCAGGAAGGCGGCGAGAGAACGCGGCCATTGGGCGAGGCCGCGGCCGCCATCTTGAGTGTGGGCAGAGGAGCTGCGTTATCAACTCGGCTGGCGCCGCGGCCGCCATGTTTGCTGCGGGCAGGCGCCCCGCCCTTGGCAACCGGGCGGACGCCGCCGGTGTCCGGGGCCGGTGAGGCGCCCGGGGCCGCCCAGGCCCGAAGGACACTTTGCTGAGGGCTCGAACGGAAACGGCTCTTTATTGGAGCACCGGTCCCACCCGCGCGCCGAGCCCACGCTCCCCCGGGAGCTTCTGTCGTGACAGACAAGCGGCCTGGGTGCTCCCGCCCGTCCGCCGGTACCGGGAGCCAGCCCGGTGCTCGGATCCAGTCCCGGGCGCGTCCCTGGCCTCGTCGCTGTGTCGCCTGTGCTCATTGCCTTGCCTGCGGCGGGCAGCGGCTCCGCTCCTGCTCCTCTTGCTGGCCGGTGACAGCCGGTGACAGCCGGTGACAGCGGGGACAGCCGGGGACAGCGGGGACAGCGGGGACACGGCTGCAGGGCCCCTCCCGGGACAGCTGCTAGCGGGATCTGAACCGCTTCCACAGGCGTCGAGACACGGCAGCGGTCAGGATGAGCCCCAGGAGCGATCCCGCTGTGCCCACGGCAATGGCAGGGCTGGAGCTGGGGGAATCTGCGGACACACGGGGCTGTCACTGCGGGGAAACGCCGAGAGAGGATCGCGGAGCTCACAGAACCTGTGAATTCCACAGGAAACGCCGAGGGGTGAGAGAATCACAGAATTCACAGAATTCGCGGAATTCACAGAATTCACAGTAATCTGTGATTTTCACAGGAAATGCCGAGGGGTGAGAGAATCAGGAATTCACAGAATTCACGGAATTCACAGAATTCACGGAATTCACAGAATTCACAGAATCACTTGAAGAGACCTTCAAGACCATCGAGTCCACCCCAACCCCAACACCTTCATTTAACCACGGGACCCCCCCCGGCCCCGAGCGTGTCACGGACACGAGGGGCGATGAGGACGGGGCTCCGCGGGTCACGCCACTCACCGTCCAGCACCGTCACGTCCAGGCTGACCGTCTGTGCCCGGGGCCCGAGCAGGGCGCACTGGTAGCGGCCCTGGTGCCAGGGCTCGGCTCGCTCCAGCCGCAGCGCGGAGCTGCTGCCCGCGGCCTCCTCCCGGTACTGCCCCCGGGCCGCGGGGGTCCGCAGCCAGCCCACCGTGGCGTTCCCGGCGCACCGAGCGCGGCACTCGATGCGCAGGGCCCTGCCCCGCGTGCCGGTGGGAGGCAGAGAGCGGATCTGCAGGAGGCAGGCGGGCATTGTCCCCGCGGGTGGCACTGTGGCCGCCGTGCCACAGGCAGGGAGGGTGCTGGTGGCCACCGTGAGGTCCTGGGGCACGGAGGGCTCCGTGGAGCGGGGCTTGGTGACAGCAGGAAGATGCAGAGTGGTGGCAGCGCTGGGCTCCCGTGCTGTGGTGGCGTCACCGGTGGGGACAGCTGGCTCTGGGGGCAGTGCTGTGGTGGCCTCGGGCCTGGCTGTGCTGGGGCTCCCCGTGGCTGCTGTCAAACGCAGCAGCCTTGGTCACAGGGGATGTCACTGCAGCCCCAGGCTCCTCCAGGCCTGGGCACAGCCAGCAGGAGCAGGGCACTGCCAGGAGGGACATTCAGGAGAGGTGCAGAATTCTGCTGCCGCCTGGCAGAGCCACTCCGAGGAGCACAGGGGATGTAGGCTGGGCCCCCCAGCCCCTCCTGGCACTCACCCTCAGCACGTGCCACCAGAGATGCCACCCGGGTGAAGGTCTCCTGCCCGACCTGCAGCGTCACCTGGCACCTGAACTCCGCCCCTTCTGCCACCTCTGTCCCGCTCAGCAACAGGGTGGAAACGATGTGACACAGCTCCTCCTCATCGGCATCCCTGCACTCAACGTCTGCAAGGTTCTCCAGCACCTGGTGCCCCCGGTACCAGGTGAGGGCCAGCCCAGTGGGAGGGTACAGGTGCCTGGCCGAGCAGGTCAGGTTGGTGGGGTGTCCTGGCCGCAGCATTTGGGGAGCTGCCTCCAGCCTCAGCGTGTCCGGGAGGGCTGGAAGGGAGTCAAGGCAGCATCACGGGTGATTTTTTGGCAGCTCAGGAGGAAAGGGGCTGCCCCGAGGATCCAGAGCTGTGCTGGGAGGCAGTGAGGGACAGGCTGGGGAGTGCTTACCGTAAACCTTCAGTGTGACAGTTTTCTGGTAGTGCTTCCCCTGGCATTTACCCTGGCAGATCTTCATGCCCTCCGTGGCCACGGTGGCGTGCCTGATGTGCAGGATGCTGTGCGTGGAGAAGGAGGAGATGGTGCCCAGGGCGGTGTCCAGCCCCCTCCACTCCACCTTGCCCCCTGCACAGGCCAAGGAGCAGTTCAGCTCTGTCGAGCCCCCAAAGGGCACCAGCGGCTCCCGCGGTGTCACCAGCAGCCTGTCAGCCGGGCGGCCTGGGCAGGAGGGAATGCAGGGTCAGGGGAGGGACCGGGAGGGACAGGGTGAAGCAAGGGGAGCAGCAGGGCAGCACGGGGGGTTAGGGTGGCCCTTGGCCCCGTGGCACTCACCACTGCAGCCCCACAGCGAGCCGAGGAGGAGGAGGACAGGAGCCGGCTCCATCACCCACGGGGCAGCAGCAGGGCTGGTTTTCCCTTCTTGCCTTCCTTCCCCTGGTTTTCCCTTCTTGCCTTCCTTCCCCCTTGCAGGCAGCGGGTGCTGCTGGCCGGGGCTGTCTCCTTGTGGCCGCCGGCTCCAAACTCAGCCCTTCTTAAGCCCTGCAGGAACCGCCCCCGTGAGCACCGGCCCCAGGACCTCCACAACTTCCCGCCCAAGGGGTATTTCCAAAGGGAGGTTTCTGATTTTCTTCCAAGTTCGGCCCTTGCACAACACCCAGCCGACGGCCAAGCCGGCAGCCCCCCCAAACCTGGGAAACTCCCTGTCCCGAAGGATCTCTGTGTGCCTGCAGGGGCTCCCATCACCCCAGCACAGGCACTTTCACCCCGAGCTGTGGCTCACATCCAGCTCTATCCCTGTTTTTTGCAGGCTACATCACTCCCCCAGGGGCCCTGGCAAACCAGCTTTTCCATGACCCCAAGAGCTGCTGGGGACACAGAGCTGTGGGAAGGGCCCTGCCAGCCCCTGCCCCAAAAGCAGAGCCAGGACCCGTGGTCAGCCCTGTTGGTGAGCCGATTATCCCTGTTTATTCCTCAAACAGGGTTTTTTCAGGGATGGAGGCAGGTGCTCCTGTGAGGGTTGGTCTCGTGGTACAGATGGAGAAAGTGTCACCCCAGAGAAGGTGTTGAACCCAACCTCAAGGCCCTCAGCATCTGTCCTGGCTCCCTGCTGGGTCTGGCATCACTCCCTCACCCCTGCCCAGCTCTCCATGGAGGGATGAGTCCTGTTCTGCCCCATCCCACCCTGCCAGGCTGCAGCCAAGGCTGGGGAAGGTCCCAGAGGGCTGAGGGAGAGATGTGCCCATCTCTGCACCCAGTGCCATCACAGACCTGGACATTCCCCAGCTGGGAGCTGCTCTGAGAGGCACCTGCGTGCACTGGGCGTGCCACTCAGCCTTTTAGAAGGTCATGCCATTAATTCTCTTGAGGGTGCAGGAGGCCTCTGAGCAAGGAAAGTGCTCTGTAAACACTTCCCACCAAATGTGCACACTCAGCCGAAGCAGGTGATTAATGATGCTGGGCTTTTTGTTCCTTCCATCCTGTGTTAACAGAGCCACTTCCCGGATTTTGCAGCAGCCTCCAGAGCCCCCCTGCCCAACCCTGGCACAATCCGTGGCCAGGGCTGCTCCCTCACTGCCAGGCTCTTCTCAGAAATGTGTCTGGGAACCTTGAGGACACACACGTGGTGCCAGGGTTTCACTTCCCTCCCCACAACCCTGATTGTGGCACTGGTGTGATGAGAAAAACCCTGAATCGGTGTCTGAATGAGAGCTGAGCATTTATGGAACCACCTCACCTTAAAAAGAAGCTTGCCCAGACTTTCCTGAACCTCAAGAAATTAGTAGTAACCAGAAAGCCCCACACCTTGTGTTGCACTTTCCCTGTTTTGGGGCTTGGAGTGCCCAGAGCAGCCCCAGCCACCCACAGAGGGGGCAACAAAGAGGAAATTGGAGTAAAAACCCTCCAGTTCCAACAGCTCAGCCACAGAGCCAGGGGCAGGGCAGGGGACTTGGCCCAGCTCAGGGTGGCGTGGCAGAGCTGCCCTTGCTCACCCTGAGTGGTGGACCCAGCACAACCCCTGTTCCCCCACCTGCTTGGTGGAACTGAGACCTCCCCCCAGCCCCGAGGAGCACAGGAACAGCTCAGGGACAGCCCCAGGTTGCGTGCCCAGGGCAGGAGGAGCAAGCTTCCACACCAGGAGTGTTTTCCAGCCCACAGGAAGCCTTTGAAGGAGTGAAGGGAGTGCTGCTTTTCCAGATTCAGGGGCCTGAACACCTTTCCTGGAGGCTGACTGTGCTTCCTCCCTCAGGGCAGGCAAGGGGATTTGTGCTGGGCAATACTTTGTGCAGAGATGTTGCTCAGGAAACAAAACAGCTCAGTGTGGAGACACAGAGCACCAAGGGACCAGTGCTGGCTCCAGCACAGGATACCCCTCGGGCTGGGGTCTAGCCCCAGGCTGTCACCAGAAGGGACAAGGCTTTGCCACTGCCCCGGGGGAGGGTGGTCAACAACATCCTGCACTGCAACACCTGCTCTTTGTTCTCCAGCGCCATCACATGAGACAAGTCACAGGTTTTCTCTCCATTAAAGATGGAAACAATAAAACAAAAGCTGGTTCCAGTCTAGAGGAAGTCCATACAGAAGCGACAGGCTGCGTAATGGCTCGTGTTTCCAGGATACCATCCATCATTCACCATCCCAGAGCTGGCTTGGATGTGTTTATATTTTTTGGGATTTTATTAGTCACCTATGACCGTCCTCAGCCGCCACAAAGAGTGTTTAAATGAGTCAGATAAGATCTAAATTAGGCCTGGCTGAAAAATTAAGACAATAGAGTCATGGTTACTAAAACCAGTCCAGGAGGAGGCTGCAGTGGGGCTGGCAGGAGCCAGGGAGCTGCTGGGGCAGCCCAGACCCAGCTCTCCCAAACCTGTCCCACATCTTCACATAATTCTCGAGAAGAATTTAAATTCTGGGCAGAAGCTGCCTGGTCCCACTGGCGATGGAGACAAATAAGGACAGAGACCTTTGACACAACAGGAAAGCAGCAGTTTAATAAATAATCCATCAGAGGGAGAGATTAGCCAGTTCCAAACACAACCTGAACCAAAATAAATACATTTTATCGTTAGCTTAAAAAAGAGACACAAACACACGTGATGTGAACTGTGAGAGAGCAGAGGTGGGGCCGAGTGCCCACGCTTTAAAGATACCACAGCTGTCAACAGCCTTTGGAGTGCAGAAAAAGAATAAAAACTGGGAAGTAAAAAGTTACTACTTTGCAAAATTAATGGCAGAAGAGAAAGCAATGGTGTAACTCAGGTTTTTAATGCAACAAGATCAGGTGAAACTCACTTGACCCGCCAGGACTGCTGACAGGCAATGGAGATGATTTTTGCCTTGTGTTTGGGCATTGCTGTTACCATCCCAGGTTTTAAGTCCCTGCAGACAAATCCTGGGAATCCCAAAGTTAAACAGCCAGGCTCAGGCACTGCACAGCAGATCAAGCAGATTTTAAGAAAAGACTCCTTTTTAAAAAGTTGCGTTTTCATATAAAGTAACAAGAATTGGCAAAAACTAGCTGAATGCTCCACACAGCCTTTCCAGCCTCCACATGGAAGCACCAGCCCTTCAGAACAAGCTGTTCTTCATTTGGCTCTGGTGACTTCAGCTCCAGCACTGCCTGGCCCAGCTCCTGCTCTGTCCCACCAAGGCAGAACAGGGCAGAGCTCACAGCCCTGGGAAGGGGAGGCACCGGGCCCAGGCCCCACCAAACCAGGTGAGAGGGACCCCAAGGGGGTGGGAAGGGATCCCTGCGTGCTCCCTGTGCCTCAAAGAGCCCCTGCTGCCAGGTCTGCACACCAGCACCAGCCACTTTCTGTTGGTGGTGGCACCTGGAGAGTCCTGCTGCTGCCTGCTGCTGTACCCCCCTCCACCCACACGCTGCCATATCCCCACCCCAGCTGCCCAGAGCTGCAAACCCACTGGTGGCCACTGCTGCAACCCCCGTGGTGCCCAGTGCCACCACAGGTGACAGCACAGCTGGTCACCAACCTGGCCACAGCCCCTGAGCTGGCAGTCACCTGCTGGCAGCATCTGGCCCCGAGTTTGGGGGGCTGACAAAGGGACCAAAACACTCCAGGGCCACCATGCAGATGTCAGCATCACCAGAAGCTCAGGGGTCATGAGGGACACGACGTGGGAGGGAAGATTCTGGACAGTTCTGGGGTCTGAGGGGAAGGAGAGGGTGAGAGGCTGCAGGCAGCAGCAGCGGTGAGAGGGAATGGGACCAGAAACATATTGGTTTCAATAAACTATGCAATAAGGGAGAGGACTTTTAAAAATATATCTCTATATACTTTTTATCATATAAATTATGCTTGTCTTTTTGTAACGTGTCACTATATTGTACCCGTGAAGCTCTGAGGTAACAATTCTATATTTTACTTCATCTGTGTGTGAGGGAAAATCCTACTTCAGCTCACTTTAACCCATGTAAATCAACGGATTGCTGGGACTCTGGAAAAGTCCCGTCTAAAAAAGGCATTTTTGTGAGGAACAGACGTGGGGGAACTACTGGCTGGAAGTGCAAGTGACAGGATTTCCTTCAGGATAAAAGCTTGCCATGCACACACAGTACTGACCATCCCACTAATGTTTGGGAATTGGGAGTGTCACCACAAGGAGCTTGGGAAAAATGGAGTCAGAGCAGGTCGAGGAAATTTCTGCTGGCTCTGCTCCCCAGCCCTGCAGCCAGACCCATCTCAGCATCCCTCTGTGTCCCAGCTGCTCCCAGCTCTGAGCACAGAGCTGCCACCAGGCCAGATCAATGCAGAACAAACTGCCAACTCTTTCATTGAAATACCCACCTCTGATAACCAAATGGCACTTGCTGTGTGTCTGCACAGATCCACGGTGTGAAGGGCCAGCACTGCCTCCCTTTGGGCTGCTCTCCCCTGGGGAACCTTCCCCAAACCCACAGAGAGGGGACCCAGCCAGAGAACAGCCCAGGCAGGACTGGTTTGGCTGCTGCAGCCTCAATTCCTCTAACAAAGGATTCCTGAAGTGTCCTTGGTTTGGTCCTTACTTCCCAGAACTGCTCAATGCCACCACTTCTTATTTACTCAAATGAGAACAATTGCTTCCTGCCCTCTGCCACATTTCTATAAACAACCACACGTTCCCTGTTTGCCTCAGCTCCTTTCACAAGGCTCCAAGCACCTCCTGCTCTTTCTGAGCACAGCTGAGCCTGCAGCAGAGGTTGCAGTTCCACTGTTCCATAAACAAAAGCCTCCACAGCAGGCTCAGAAATGCCACATGGAATCCAAACCCCTGAGTCCAAATCAACAAAACCTTCACCATCAGGATCTATTGGGTTGAGAACAAACCAGCTCTGGACACTCTCTGGGTTTAGCATCAGATGGTAGGAGCCCAGGGGCAAACCAGCAAGCTTTATACACTGCTCAAGGTAAACAGTCATTTCTCTGACCTTTCTCCCAGGAAACCACTCATCTCCAAAGTGCTCAGCACAGCCAAGCTGTTTCTCCAGCCTGCCAGAGAACTGTATTTCCTAAACAACCCTCACAGCTCCAGGAAAAAGATTTCTGAAAAAGAAAAAAATCCTTCTACCTACTGCCCGTGGAGGCAACAGGCAAATGCCACCTCAGAGTGACAAGAAAAAGAAAACCAAGCAGAACCAGTGTGGCCTGTTACAACACTGTGGCCCATTACAACACATCCAAGTGTTTGTAATTCATGGAGCTGCCCTTCTCTCACCTGCAACTTCTTCATTTTTATCCTTGTCATCAGAACATGAAGTCAGTAGATTTATAATTTGTTTGGTCTAGGTTTCACTTGGGGCAGAACGGGGCCCTCCAGCAGAGAGGAAGCTCAGAGCTGCACTCCCTGTGCTCCACACCCCCCCTGTGCCCCCAGCGTGTCACCACAGCCTGCAGGGGTGCCAGGGGCAGCTCTGGCAGGGATGGGGCATGGAGCAAATGCCACATTTGATTGCAGGGGCAGCTCAGTGAGCTCCCAGCAAGCAGAGCCCAGCAGAGGGTTTGGCAGGGCACGCAGGGGGCACGCACAAGGGCGGGTTTGCTTTCCAGAACTATCCCTCCAGTGGAGCAGTTCCGTGTCTCCCCTTTCCATCAGCACCAGGTGATACAATTCCATTTTTGCACCAGCTGGGTGTATTTGGCTCGAAGGGAAAACCTCATCCCTCCTCAGTAGCTGTTAGTGGCACAGTCTGTTACCTTGGATCCCTCTCTCCCCCTCCCTGAACTCCTGCTGAGTCCATCCTTGGCGTGGAGTCGAGCCCGAGGCGGGTCCCCTGTCCCCCCTCACACGCTGCTGTCCTCCAGGAGGGGCTCCTTGCCATCTGACCCCCCGGCTGGGGGGCTGTGGGGGTGGGCCTGGGCCCCCGTGCTGTGCTTCTTGTGGCTACCTGACCTCAGTGCCAGGTTGTGTTCTGGAATGAACAGGGCCACCAGCAGCGACAGCAGCACGGAGCACGCCCCGAACAGGAAGGGTGGCCCAGGGATGATGCTGCTCTGGAGAGACAGAGAGAGAAACAGGAATGATTCAAGAATGAGGGCAAACACAGCCCAGCAAACAGTGAGAAGGTAAATAGGTACCTCATCTGTAGGGTTGGCCATGTTGGGTTTGGAGGCCTTGCCCAAAGTTTCCACCTCAGCCATTTCGTTCAGCTCCACGTGGAAGAGATAGAAGACAAAACCATAGAGGGCTGGCCCCAGGCCATTACACAGACCCCGAATTCCAGTGATCATCCCCTGCACCACACCTGGGGACACAGGGAAAAGGGGGAAATGCCTCCAGCTTTCCAAAGAAACTTGTTTTATTCGAGGATACATACTTAGAGATATTTAGAGAAAGGATCAAGCACTTGGATCCGGGCTGACGTGCAGGGGAGGGGTTTGCAGATGAGCAGCTTCACTCAGTGCCAAGTTCTAGAAATGTAATGCTGGGCTTGCTGCTTTGCAGACTGAAATAAGCATGAGCACATCAAGCAACAACTTCCAATTAACTAGAATTTAATTGAGGATTCAGAGATGCACTGTGAGGCAGGCAAAACGCAGCAGCCTCCTCTGCCTCAGAGGGACACCACCAACCACCCACTTGCATGACTTGGGAGTTCCCCAGTAAAGCAGCAGCCGTGCTCACAGATAAGAGTGTCAGTACTGCTGTGAGTGAGCACAGTGACACCCCACAGATGTTCCTGCCCACCCCTCCACCGCCATGCCCTTCTGCCAGCTCAGCTCCTGCTGGGATGAACCCTCCCCAAGCACTCACCCTGCTGGTCAGGGTCTGTGCTCCTCGACACCATGGCACTGATGGCTGGGAAGGTGATGCTGGACATGGCAGCCACAGCTCCTGCTGCCCACATCATCCTGGGGAGGAGGAAGGAGGCAGCTGTGAGGAGCAGCCCTGTGCCCTCACCCTGTGCTGCAGGGTGGGAGCGGCCACAGGGGGACAGAAACGTGGGCAAACCCTCACCAAGGCTGTGATCCAAAGCCATACCAGGCAAGCTGCAGGATCTGGAAGCCCAGGCCCAGGAGGATGGTGTTTTTATTCCCTATCGAGCGCATGAGAATTCCCAACACCACTGTCTGGAAAGAAAAACAGCTGCTTTCAAGGCAGGGCAAAGAAAGAGGGCAACACCAGGAGACAAGAGGACAGGAAATGGAGGGACTTTGATAATCTTTATGGGTCCCTCCCAATTTAAGATCTCCTCTGTTTCAAAAGTCTGTGTGGCCACAGGAGTTCTGACAACTCAGCGGCTCCAAAATCAGAAATTTTGGACATTCTTACAGCAGAATGCTCAAGCCAACAGAGAAATTGCTTCTCACCTGAGCCAGTATAGAGAG